ATGGACTTTAGAGTAGGACCCTCTAAAGTACAATGAGGCCGCTAGACTAGGCCTTGGACCTCCTTGATCGCCCAAAACCCCAGTCCAGGTAATACACCCAACCCCCGTCTTCTTTTATAGTGACTTTCCTCTCCTTTCTTTAATTTTCTTTGATGCGGCTGTGCGGGGGAAGATGGCTTCACCGCCACTTTAACTTCTTAATAATAACTTAATACCACAATTTTTGTGGGTGATTTAGATAGAGATTAAAACTATCTTTGTCATTGATGAAGTTAATAATTCTTTCGTCTGCTTTCTTTGTTGTATTGTGTTAGTGCAATAAATCAAACGACAATCATCCGACTCTAGATTCATTCGTAATTCGCATTAATCAAAATTGTGGTTGGTTCTCATTCTTGAACGTATCCATGATGAACGTACGTGTTTGTCATCATTGAGCAATAATTCACCCACCCTTTGATGTATCCTTCTAAATCGCCATATCTTTGACACGAAATCTATTTCTTGCACCAATGAATTTGACACCTCTTTTGTTCAAATGGTATTTTATTTAGTGATATATAATGTACATGTGGTCTGGGGTCGTAGTCATAAAACACAAGTGGGAGATCAACTTTGTGAAGAATCTAATCTTACAAAAGTAATATCGAAGTGTATGAGTGTTTTAGTATAGGCGGCCATCCATTAATGGTTATATCTTCATTGTAGTGATTGACAGCATCTTACGTAATCCCCCCACTTTACTATTTTTCTTTTTCTTAAAAAAAATAAATTACGAAGACCAAAGAGTATGCATAAATTCCTACCACATTCAAGGACAACATGAATTCCATGACCATCAACTGATTTTGAGAAACAGTAAAGATTAAGAATGGAATAAAATAAAAACAAATCTGACGGGGTAAGATTACTAGCAATTTCTAGAAGGAAAAAAGAAAAAAAAATACTTTTTCTGTTTAAAAAACGTAAAATTATTTCTATGACCCGTAAAGAATAAATGATTTTTGGTATAACATTTGAAGACCTCCAATTTTGCGAGGTAGCCAACACATCCAAAACATTACACCCCTCTTGACAAACATGTTACATGTCAATTGATCATCAAGGACAACAAAATTCACACGTCAATTCATTCTTAAATTACCACAAAAAACTTCCTATACCTATATATATCTCAGTTACGGCCAAATAATATTTGGGTCATCCTCTTAAATTGACGACGTTGACATTTGAGACGTACGTTCAGGTACAGCTCAATTTTGACACACCATGTTCTTATGTTGTCATTTCTGGTCATCCAAAACTTAGGATAACTACCAAAAGAAAAAGTAAAAATAAAATAGAAAATGAAATTTACGTTATACTTCATCAAAGTTCAATTTCTTATACAGATGATTCCAATATGGAAGGGGACCCACGAGCCGTTTTGATATTTAAATTTGTACGGCCGGATGTACGTACGTGTTCATGATTTTGTCGCACGCCGGGCGGATGACTTTGATTGTACGGAGGGGATGATCTAAGTTGGATGAGTGGTGATTAGGATGAAACGGCGGGAAAGACGAACGGGCCATCCACGTGTCCGTCAAAAAGTCTGGGAATTTTCCTGACCAATGAAATTTAAACTGCTTTTTGATTAAAAACAGATATTCGGGCATTCGGACAAGACATGCATAAACCTATCTGGTAGTTTTTTTTTACAGATCAATCGTGTCATTTAATTCAGAAAAGGAAACAATTCGCATGATTGAAAAAGGTTTATGACATCAATGATTGCGTCAGGAAACCCATGCTGCGTTCTTTCTACTTCATGCGCCTCTTTGGATTTAGAAGGGTCGATTTTCAGGAAAAAGAAGAAATGGAAAAAGGCTCTTCGTTTGATCGGTATGCCAAATCTCCCCAGCATTTGATTTTTTCCCCGTTGCTTTATTCCTTTTTTATATATATATAATTATAATTAGAAGATAATGATCATAATTCATATTTATGGAGAATAATGGAAATTGATAAGAACAAAGTTCCTAATAAGATTTATTACCAATTGATTGATTGAAATCTTTGATCTCGTTGAACGTGAGATTCTGACTTTGAACAACTTGAACTATGAATGGAAACGATATGATATGAGATATAAAGGAATCGTAGGTAAATCGAACATGCATCATTTTCATGTTTAAGTCCCCCCTGCAATCATGTAAAAAGACTCATATTTATTTAATTTTTTTTTAGTTCAATAAATATACTCGTATTTTTTTTTTTGGGGGTGGGTGAGACGGAAATTGTTTGTTGATTTTTTTTTGGATAAACAAAAACAAAAACGAAAAAACCAATTTAATCTGGAAAGTTCAAGAGTACTCTGAACTCACAGGAGTCTTTTGACTACAGGACAAAATTAACATGAAAATCTCAATAAAATTTAAAGAAACCACACATGCAAAGCTTGCACTACATTTGTTTCGCAGGCCCCGACCCAACTTTTCTTCGTTTGTTAATCTTATCTTATATGATAATTGTCTATTTTATAATACAATTTTTGATGTAGCAAAATACACTATTTTGTAAAGAATAGAGAGTATAAAGAATGGAGAGTGTAAGAAATTTGTTGGTGAGTTTGAGTATTTAGCAAAGTATATAAGTCTGCTTAGGATTGGTGCCATATATAAAGAAATATACGATGATAAGGGAAATGATAAATAGAGATGAATGTGTGTGTGATCCTTATATATTCACTTTAATTTTTTTAAATTTTTGGTAACTAAAAATGAAGAAAGAAAGAAAAAAAAAAGAAAAAGAAAAAAAAGACTCGAGTTGCATAACGTTATAGTGACCCAAATTTTTACACCTTTTTCATCGGTTTTGTGGAAGATAAAGTAAGTTAGATTTCATTTGAAATGCATATAAAACGATAGGGCCAATACGTTGCAGTAATTAGCATTCTCTCCGTTCCATAATTATTATCCGGTTTGAGTTTTCATTTTTAGTTTAAATTGTACTAAAAGTAAAAATCTAAACTGAACTATAATTATGGGACGGAGGGAGTATCATTAATATTTTTTCCCACAGATTCCATTGTTTTGCTTTTTACAAATTCCATTCTTATATTTCTTTCTTACAGTTATCAATATTACTAAATTAAAAGTTAGGATACAGTTACAACTATTTCCCCCTTAATTTGAGGAATAGGTAATAATGTATATATCACGCCTTTTCTCTTTTTAGATAGCTTATTCGTAAACGATTAGTAAGAAACCAATGAAATAAACATGTCCAAAGTTGTGTAACTACAAATAACTACCGTATTTTTGGAGTTCATACTTACAATGAAAATCCCAACTCCACTGTTATCCGACTTGTTTTTTGCTTATATATAATCTTATGTTTTACAAATTAATTAATGAGTTTTTGAACAATAATAACATGGTATTAATTTAAACTTCTAAATTGAGCTATCCTATCTCAATTTATAAGAATAGAAACACGTAAATGATTTCACACTTTTTATAATTTATTAATAATAATGGAAAAATTCCTATTGAGGCGTTGCAGGTTTCATAATTCTTAATAAGGGTGTGAAACTTTTAAATTTCTATTAAGGGCGTAATAATATACTATTAATCTATGACTAATACTTCTTAAGACAGTTGTACCCTTCCGTTAACTAACTTTTTTACAATTTTTTTAACGGAAATAATACTTATTTTATTTTTTATATTAACGAATTTATCTTCTCCGTTGCAACAAAAAACTCCCTATTTATTTCATCATTTGATTCCAAATCCTGATTTTTGTTAACTCTCTAGTGTTGAACAATCTCCTTAGAAAGAACCCAAACTCAATTATTAATCAATGAAGAAGCATGCGGGAGAGTTTTAAAAGTTTTAAAAGCTGCCAACATCCGTGGAGAGTTTTTTTTTTTTTTAAAAAAAAAAAATTTCTTCTGCTACAAATTCCTATTTTTTTACATTTGAAAATCTTGATTATGGAGAGTGTTTTATTCTAACATTTTAACAAAAGCCATCACGTCTTCCCAAATAGTCGTGGAACCTAGACAATTAAATTTGGAGAAATTTATGAAATCCTTGGCCATAGCTTTCAATAATCAAATTGTTAAAAATTCTAAATAACACAATTTTTGCTAAAGAAATACTACAAAACAAGGAAAAAAAAGAAGAAAAAACTTGCACACAATTGTTTGGCTTATTGTGACGAATTCAAAACTTACCAGAAGTACACAAAAGTTTTCAAGCTGGTTCCATATCTTCGTCTAGATAGGAAAAATGAGTGTTTTGAATAGGAAGAATTCTTATTTACCAAAAAGAAAAATTATGGAAATGAATCCCCTAAATTTTGGAATAATGAAACTTATCTTTAACAACTGTAATAAAGGGTAGGATTGTCATGAAAAGTAATTACTATTGATTAACTCAATGTTACACCCTTCAAAGGAATTTTAAAAATTTCACACCCTCCTTAAGAATGATTAAATCTACAACGCCCTTAATAAGAATTTTTCCTAATAATAATTAACATTGATCCTCAGTGAAACTAAGAAAATTCATTTTTTTTTGTTTGGTTGGTGTCCGTAAAAAGAAATAAATAGAGTGCAAAAAAATCTATGCGACATGGTAGAGATTTCTACTATTAGTTAGTCATTAGTAAGAGGAATATAATTAGTAAAAAATAAAAAAAAAATTGATATCGTATGAGGGATATAATAATTAGTAAAAAAATAAAATAATTGTTATTGTATTGTATTAATTCAAATAAACTTGTTTTACTAACCTAGCCACTTAGAAGGTGCTTTTAAAGCCCAAAATTATATACGAGGTTTGAAAAGAATAATGTATATAACAAAAAGATTCGATGTCTTTGGTCTCTCAGGAACATGTGATTCATCGAGACTCTAACATCAAAATCAAAATGCCCTCAAATATTCCCGAATAGAGTATATATTTATTTATGAGGAAAAAAAAACAATTAAAAACACAATTATTACAATATTCTAAAATCACAGTACCTAACTAGAGTCAAGTCTTTTATGTAGTATATATACTGGTATTTTCAGTATGATTATACAATAACGTAATGAACCGTGTTGGTTCCGTGTATGGTGTCTCCAGCAAAGCCAATAAAATTATACCCTTTTCTTCCTGTAAATTCCAGCTTAACTATAAATGATAATCCCATTCACCAGTAAAGTTCTGCACCTCAGTCTCGTCTATTTCTATATTATCCTCATTCCCTTCCCCATTAGTATCAATCATAACAGATTAAAGGCACATTTACAGATTGTATTTCAGTTTTCAACCCTTCTGCAATTTTGCAAGTTTTGTTCTTTGTGGGGAGTCAATAGAGCTGGCTAACTTTTTCTTCAACGGGTAAAGCTCACCAAATCCTTATGACCCTTTATTGATTTTGTTCTCAATTTATGTGTGTTTGGTCTTTTAGGTGCCAGAGATGACTTTTTTTTTTTTTTAATCTGTTTTCTTGTGGAATCTTTTTATTCTCTGGTTGAAATTTCGTATTGGGATATTTTATGGCTTTTAACTGTTTGTCCAGAGTTAATGGTATCTTACTTTTGTTTACTTTTCAGCTTTGTTATCTATTTTGGTTTTGGGAATTTTCTTGATATGGGTTGTTTACATCCGGTGATTTTTGCACATTTACAGGATTAGTGTATTGTGAGGCTTCTACTGAGAAGCTGCAGGTTCCTTAACTCTGGCCTGCCCTCAATTGAAATTCTGTGGCTCCTTGGAATGGGCTAGGGCTGTAGCAACAAAGTCTGGGATCAAATCTTCACTCTTTGGATACATTTGTTCATCTTTGGATTCAGAAGATTGGACCCTATCATTGCTTTCGCAGCTACCTATTGATTATGGCTAATATCAACCAATGTGCTAACTGAGTTTCAAGAATTGATTCTATTCGTGTCTGATTTGATTGTTTCTTTTGAGGATGTAATTTTTTCTCTTGGTTTACTACAAAGCGATACTTTCTAGTGGAAAAGGGAAGAGGATTAGTAGACTAGGTGAAAAGAGGGGATAGTAGAAAGGATTTCTTTTGGATGTTCATCAGTTTCTGAAGGGAATTGATATTGGAAATGGCGAATCGCAGATATTTTTGTGGACTTATTGGGAGCACTAAGAAGGTTAAGGTGAGTCATAGCAACTAGCATCAGTTTTCTTTTTGAAGTTTCAATATTTGTCTCTGCACATGTTTTACCACTCTTTAGATTTTCAGCTAATTTGTGTCTATAGTCTAATTTACTCTTCCTGCGATCTGTCCGTCCCCTGCAGGATGCACGGAAATCTCCTGAAGCTGCTGATGGTAGCGGAAAGGGAGCTAAAACTCTCTATGTCAAACTTGAGACAGCCTCAAAAGCTTCTGAAAACAACGAGATTTTATTAACCTCTCTTGTAGTTCCTGTCCAGTTCCCCATCTCTGGAGCACCGATTTGTAAGGTCAAGGTAATGAATCATGAGAGTCCCGTTGGAAGAGATGCTGAAGAGGTAGCTTACGAGGGGGAGGATGAGCATGATGAAAGTTTGTCAATAAAACAAGATAACTCTGAGTTTGACCTTCAAATTTTTCCTCTACCTTCAAATGAAGAGAAGAATGATGGACCTTTTGGCAAAGAAATAGACCTTTGCAACACTCCCAAAGATGATCTGAGCAACCAGAGTGAGAGAAACATTGAAAGAGATGCAGAGCTGAGTATGGATATGGCTAAAAGTGGGCACCTAAGTGATCCAGGAATTCTAAGTGATCCAGGAATCGGAAAAGCTACCATCTGGGGTTCGCCAAAGCTGATACGCTCTTGCTCTGATTTGGGAAGGAGTAATATGCATGAAAAAATGGCTGCACAGTTGCCTGCTGCAAAGTCATTTGAAGAATTGCAAAAGTTAGCCGAGAAATTGGATGAAGAAGTTCTTCCTGTTAATCATGGAAGTCCACTGTCCGTGAGAACCGGCTATAGTGCTGACAAAGTGATATTGAAGAAGCATTCATCGAGTCAAATACTTCCCTCTAGAAGTCGAAAATTGTGGTGGAAATTGTTCCTCTGGAGCCACAGAAATCTTCACAAACAAATGGAAGAAGGTGTATCCAGACGGTCCCAAGCAATGGAAAAGCTTGGCCTGAATCAGCAAGGAGGATACTCTTCAGACACTCTTGAACCAAGACAACCTGTAGAGTCAAGCATAGTTGGATCACCTGCTTCACTTTGTGACCAGCAATTGAAACATAGCAACTGTGACAATGACAACCAGAGTTGGGATGGTTTCCATGGAGTCTCTGGTTGGTGGCCGCAGAATCAATGGGTTGCTTTTCCTGGGGAATCCTCCTCGACTCCAAGAGGTGATGAATTGCCACAGAATCAATGGTTTAATATCCCCCAGGAATCCTCGACATCCTTGTCAAGAGTTGATGAGTGGGTGAAAGAACTTTCAATCCAACCGTCATTCCAGGTGGAGGAAGATAATCAAACTGACAATAATATGAACTTAGTACTCTCCTCCGAAGTTGAGGCCTCATCAAGCTCGTCCCGGTTTATTCAGCCTCCAGCACGGAATCTTCCAGAGGAGATTTCTCATGCCAACAATGTCATACGTTCTCTCAACTCTTCTTCAACAGTTGCTCATATTGTGGGTATTGGACTCAAAGTTGTTCCCCACCTTTCAAGCTTCTCTGGTCTTCGATCGGTTAACTTGTCTGGCAACTCAATAGGTAGGCAGTTGATTTCAGAGAAAGCCATCATTTTTTATTTACTTCTTCTGTTTTCATATTATCTGTTACTTCCATGGGGAAAGATCAAGTAAGAATTGAGTTTTAATAATCACACGGTATGATTCACTAACTGGCGCATGCTTTCATGTTGCAGCTCATGTGACTCCAGGATTGTTTCCAAAGGGTCTCCATGCTCTTAATCTATCCAAGAACAAGATCAGTGCTATAGAGGGCCTTAGAGAATTAACGCGACTGCGCATATTGGATTTAAGTTACAACCGAATCACCAGAATTGGACAAGGTACGCACCATTCCTTTTGCCAGAGTACTCTAACCTGATACCGATAATCAATCACCCAAAAGATAATGGTAGCTTTACTTAAATTGCTATAACATATTGAAATGACTATGGTTTGATATGACACCAGGCTTGTCAAATTGTACGCTCATCAAGGAGCTGTATCTTGCTGGAAACAAGATTAGTGATGTGGAGGGACTCCACAGGCTCTTGAAACTGACGGTTCTGGACTTGAGCTTCAACAGGATAACAACAACTAAAGCACTTGGCCAGCTCGTGGCAAATTATGGCTCCCTACTAGCTTTAAATCTGCTGGGAAATCCGATTCAGAGCAACATTGGCGATGACCAGTTGCGCAAGACTATGTGCAGCATTCTACCAAAGATAGCTTTTCTCAACAAGCAACCTGTCAATGCTCAAAAGGCAAGAGAAGTAAGCAAAGAGGCCATCGCTAAAGTTGCACTCGGAAACAACAGCCGGAGCACACATAGGAGAGCAGCAAGGAAAGCTTCTCAAGGGGTTTCATCCTCTTCAAGTGTACACAGAAACGGTGCAAGTGTTACTCATAAGAGCAGACAGAAGTCAAGAGGGCGTGTCCATTCATCCACAAAGGCCAAGTGATTGCTCGATCATCAATATCATCCGTATTACCATTTTTCAACTTACTTTTAAAGTGCAGTTACCATAGGAATTCAAGGTTTTCTTTTCTGTTTTCATTCGAGTTGAACAGCTTACCTGGCTGATTTTGTCCAGGCATTTTGCTTATACGTTGTGGATTGAGTTCATTAAAGGCCATTGAGGCGTGAAATGTATCCCATTTTCGTTAACACAATACAACGGTTGGAACGAAACTGGAAAGATCAATGAAATCCGCAGGACATATATACAGTGCATATGTCTGTTTCTTTTTTCTCTCATATCATACAGTGGATTATATATCTTATAATCTTGTTAGTTCAAGTATGCTTAATACGGTATACAGCTATGTTTTGCTCAACCTAACTTTCTACTGACAACTCCACAACTCAGTCCCTCCCTTTACGGCATTGGACATTATGATTCAAGGCTTTTCTTTTTTATTCTATTTTTTTAAAGAAAAAAAAAAATTTGGTATGCATTCAAAGTCAACTCTGTTTCATGAATTTTGTGGAGAGGGTGTTTTACTTGCATGGAAGATTGATGGATCTCTATTGTGGTGTCTGTTTTTTCTTCTTCCTTGTCATTAATTAGGGTTTCACAGCAGTACAGACCAGGGGTGTCTTTAATTAATGAATCAGGCTATGTTTGGACAGAAAGATCGATACTTCCTATCATATAAAACTACTACTACTAGGGTTAGCAGACCAAAGGTTATTTCATTAGCAGCCTGACACCACAGCCGTTGTCCATTTCAGGGATTGATTGTGCAGACAATGGTAAGTCCTGGAGGAATATTAGAATCAGTTTCCAAACGTTTATAAAAATTCGCTGGGAAGAGAGCGTTTCCAACGCCGGGGAAATTACAGTCAGAAAGCCGTTATCCTTGGTTGGTCTATTCAAGTCCCCAAGTTTTGGCGGGAAGATGTACGCCTCCTCCACCACTTGTCTTATGGAATTGGTGCAGATTGATATCAATGACAACAATCATTGTGAGATGACAGTACTAATGCCGGAAAATCGAGCTGAATATCTAGGTTCCCGATCCAAACCTAGTCTTGAGGAGGTACGTAGCACTAGATCTTCCTTGGTGTCATTGGCTGGTTCCCAACTTTGTTTAATCTTAATACACCCCAGTTGGTTGAATAAATCTGGAGAACTTGCATTTATATCCATTTTCGTCTTCGATTTCTCTGTGAATTCCTGGATACCATTGACAAGCTTCAATGGAGGCACAGTTTTTTTGTGCAACACCCATTCCCTTTACAGCCCTGGCGGCACACCCAGCCCGAATAATGAATGGAGTTACATATATTTCAACTTTGATATTGAGAAAGATCAAACCTTGTTCTCATACAGAGTTGAGGATGAAAGAGTGACATTACATTGTCTAGCGAGTTTACAGGAACCATGGGTTTCTAATTGGACTATGCCTGCTCTGCCACTGCCTCCTGTTGATGATGATGATGATGATGAGAATAACAGCATTGTAACACCATACCTTTCTTATCAACTTGTACACGATTACAGTAGTATGGTACTGCAACTTCTTAGTCACAATAAACAAAAGAATTGGTGGAGCGATAGAAGAAGAATTGACAAGAAGTTGGAGGCAGTGGAGAATGAATTTTCGGAATCTGTTTCTACCTTCTTCTTCCATATGTGATCTGCCACCAGAGCTACTTGGTTTGATTGCGGGAAATCTGTCTTTCATTGATTACATGCATTTCCGTTTTGTCAATAAACACTATTGGGATGAGGTAGAATCCCTTCCCACCCTCCTTGATCTACATAGACAGAGTTAATGGTGTCTTCAATGTAGTAGATTCCAAGCTTAACCACAAAACTGTCCATCAAAATTCCTAAAGATCCTGGATGGCTGTGTGATTCATTGTTCCAGATATGGTTGGCTATTGTTGCAACGCTGGTCAGGATACGCATTCTTTAATCCGTTTACAAAGCAAGTTATTTCAGCAGAAAAAGAGCCCAGAACTTGTCAACTACACCTTCATAAATAAACCATCTTCATCATCTGGCTGTACAATCCTGGCAATATCCTCAGACAGGTGTCCGGGCACGTCACACTTTGTCAAACGCCCTCGAAAAGAAGAAGGAGAAGCAGAATGGTGGACATTTGTGGTGGGGGAACAAGGCTGGAGGCCTTGTTAGTCCATTGGTCTTGGGAGAATTTTGTTACTCTTTGGAAGAGAATGGGATGCTTGGACGTGGGCGATTTACTACTGATAACGCAGAATCATGATTGATTGGGAAGTTGTGGAGGAACTCGTGTTTCCTGTCAAACATTTCGAACAACACTGGAAATGTGGCAGAACCATCTTGCTTTACAAGTGAGATTGCATTCAGCGCAGACGACTTGCACTTAACACCGGTGCCCCATTAGTGCATCAAGAAAAAAAGAAAAAAAAACAAATTGAGCTAGAATGATCATAACAAAGCAGGTTTCCTTTATAGAAGAAATGAATTCACCGGAATCAGAAACAAAGCAGGTTCCCTTCCCAATCCTTCTCTCATTACTAAAATACACAGAGTAACATTACAAAAAAATATACTCCCTCCGTCCCATAATTATTGTCTAGTTTAAGTTTTCATTTTTAGTTTAAATTGTACTAATAGTGAAATCTCAGACAATAATTTTGGGACAGAGGGAGTAAAATAATTAAAAATAATGGGCGATGGTGATTCTTCAGATTGTACACAAGTTGGGATATAGAAGAGAAAATGAGAGAGAGAAATGGGGGAAGAAAGAACACGATGTGAAAGACTAGTGCAACAAAATAGTGTTTTCGTTTTGGACGGACAAAAAATTATCCGACCTGCCGGATTCGAACCAGCGACCTAAGGATCTCATCTGCTAAGCAACTACAGTCCTCCGCTCTACCAACTGAGCTAAGGTCGGTCTTGTGAAACGGGATTGAACAAATTTAAAATAATACAATTCTAGCACCAAATAAATAACCCTTGGCAAAACAAAAATAAAGATTAATTTATTGTCTCCCTATCTTGTAAAAAGAATACGCATTGACTTCTGTGGAAAAAATATTGCTGGTACTTGTAAAATTAAATATTTTTTACCCTTTGGAGCTGTAAAATCTATATTACAGCATCAATCCATATTACTCAGTGTTTTATAAATGAGTATTTTATTATTTACTACTGATAAATGGATTGAAAAAAAAATTAAAGGGCCAATGTTAATGTAATTAATCCAGCATAATTAGAATTTTTTTTATCATTGCACAAATGTTTAATTTCCCCGGTTATGCTTTGCTCAAAAAACAAAATAATAATAATAAGGCGGATATGCTGCAATTTATTCTATTTTTTTCCCCCATTTGATATTTGGCTCAAGAGAATTTACGGATATATAATAATAAAAATAAAAATTTTGTGGATTCTTAAATTAGATGAGGCCAAAATCTTTTGTTTTATTTACCTCAACATTGTCTTGTTCATGCATATTAGTTATTTATACACATTGTCTCTAGTGTTTACATTTTGTCTTGATGTTCATACAGTTTACTAACGTGTTCACAATTCACACAGAAAGCAAACACAAACCCATGATTACAGATTAACTGCCACATGCCAAATTTTGGAAGACTGTAATTTGAAAGTGATTTGACCTATATATAATCCCGTCCTTTCGAGTTCAAACTTCAAACAGAAATTTACAAGAACTAGAGCGCTGTATATAAGATTACAAGTACAAAACACAGTTAGCTGAAGGAATTATAATCAGTAAAAAGTGGGAAAAAAGAATGGCATCCTCTGGTATTAAAAATGGAATAAAGGGAAAGAAGTTTGAAGTGAGATTGCCCCGGCTAAAGTTTTTAAACTTACTATACAATAACAAAAGAATTACTAGTGCTTTTCTTCTTCTTTTTTTTGGCTTATTCTGCAATAACTCCACAATATAAGTTATCATTTTGCTGTATAATTGAGACATGAGACCTCAACAAAGAAAACCCCTTTTTTTAGTGTATCCCTATACTTCTCTGAATCAGCTGTGCCTCTTCTGTGTAATTACATGGCCCTATGAACACCTTACGGCTTTCCATAGGATTGTTTTTTTTTGGATCTGTGGCTCCTCCTAAGCAGAATAACAATTGTGTTTCCTGCTTCTCTAGTCAAAACTTTTGATCCCACCGTTTCTGGGGAACTAAATGATGAGTTTTTTCAAGATATAGAATACATGATGGCAGCTTCTTCCAGCTTAAAGCTTTCTGCCAAAGCGGGATTAGATGGCTTGCCTCTTTATGAAAGGTTTCTGGCAGATTAAGAGCTTTTCCTCACTGTTGTTGTCAATCTCCACTACTCGTGCATCCCATCTCAAACGTGTCGTCAGAGCTCTGGCAGACTCAATAAGATGCACAGCATCTCGTAGAATGACCCACCCCTGCATAGCAGGATTCCAGATTAACGAAAATGAGCAAACTAAGAAAATAAAAGTCATTCCATACCTTCTACATGGGGTGCTAAGTAAGCAAACAGTTCAAAAAATATGTGGCGACATTGTGGCGAGTACATTAAACAAGTTGCCTACCAAATATGTTAAGATATAGCACTTGGAAAACTACATCAACAGTTCACATGGAGACACTTCAAATACAAAATTATCCACTTAATATTGACATGTGTTCATAGTTTATTAGACCTTGGGAGCTTAGAGAAAGGGAGAGTAGATACCTCAGGCCGAAGTATGCGATCTATCTCAGTGAATACGTCGATCATTTCACATCTATGTTTCTCAACAAATTCAAGAGACAAAATTCCTTTTCCATGCACGAGGTCGTAAGTTCTTGGATATGTTGGAAATGCTTCACACCTTGAAGAAAAGAACTTCATTAGAAGGAAAGTACTCTGTCTTAAAAGAAACTTCTTGCAGATTTTAGGTCTCAAAGAACAGAGTAACCATAAGGGTTATTATGCCAATTTTGTCCTAATTCCAAGTGACTAAAGATGGCATCAGCAAAATCTGGATGTAAACAGTAAAACTAAGACAATGGACCAAAGTTTATGAAAATGTAGTATCCAAACCACACCTGGGTATTAGATGCGAAACATGCATTAAAGAAAAATCAATATCTTCAGGGATTCACTATTTTCCTATTTATGGAATCCATAAGCCCAAAAAGGGGGAGAAGCCCAAAAAGAAATGTGAGAAGATACTGTACGCAGAAAGGTGTATTTGGAATTATTACCAGTCATGTAAAACCCCAACAAGTCCCCTGTCCAGAATCAAAGGAAGATGGTTGTTTGCAGTTGTTGGAATGACGTTCATCACCCACGCAGATTTCTTCGATTCTAATAATGCCATGTTGAATCCACCAAAGTGTGCATTCATGTCTAACACATTTCTAACCATGTTAAAAGGAGGAGAGGGATCTTCATCGCCAGGTCTTTTCGGGTGATCAGAAAATATTAATGGTGAGAGCAAAGACCAGTAATTTTGAACTGCGGATTGCCATTTCAAAGAATCTTCAGCAAGGTCATCAGAGTTCAAACCTGAGACACCATAGGGAATAAAAAAATTGTCATTACAAAATTTTTGAGGCGTATTTTGGAACACTGTTCCTCTCAGTGGCCATTCCATAATGCTTGAAAAGAAAGTTGCATTCACGAAAACATAGACACACTTACCATGAGGTGCAAGTTCTTTTGCGTTCAATCTTGACTTGGCTGGCCACTTACTCCTTTCTTCAATTGAAATCCATCGCTGACTTTGTGTTCCTCCAACACATCCCTGGAGTGGTCGGTAATACGGAGTTTCAATATCATGGGCTCGACTGCACAGAGGAGGACCAGAACCAGACCTGGGAATAATAACCAATTAAGGAACCATCAGTGACTTGGACCAACACAAAGCCCCACAAGGACATATTTCTAGTATTAATGAGTCAAAACAAGTAGAAGAAGAAATCTAAATGGTGCGCTGGGGTACAGTCTGTAGTAGTCTCACCTGGCTGGGCAGCTCTTTTTAGTAGTCTTTTTCCAAACAACTGTATCAACTTGCTGTGACAACATATCCCAACATAGACCTTTAGCAAAACCATGCACAAAATTCCATTCTTTCTGGTTCTCTTTCTTGTGCAGGAATTGTTGGGAACTAGCCAGTTGTGAAGTCCAGACAAAATATCCACCAGGCCGTAGCACCCTATCAACTTCAATTAACAGAATACCATCTGTACCACGCAATGAGAAGCATCCGTGTAAATAAAATGAACAGAAATGCTTGGAATCTTTAATTGCATAGATTACTGTTCAAATTGCTGTGGACATACATGACCATTCGAGAGAGAAAAGACTACCTTTCTGATCCCAATCAATACCACAGCCAGCACAGTGTATCATGTCGAACGACAGAGATGGATAAGGCAGCTGTTTCGAAGTAAATGAACCAATCATTGCCGGAAGACCTCTTTCCAGTGTTAGCTGAACTTGACTTCCAGAAGCCTCATAGTTGGCAATACACATTGTCAACAACTCGTTTGAGAAGAGATGTGCCCCGAGGTTTCCATAGCCACAACCAATATCCAACATAGTCCGAACCTAAAATCAGGTGTACGTGTCAATACCAATGCAGATAATCGATCAAACAGAAATGTGGACCTCAAAGGCTGGAGCAGAAAATGAATGAGGTGAGATGGGTCCAGTCGAATTACATTTGATGAATTTCTCCCTAGAGGGGTTCTTTTACAAAGTCCCAGATGTTGGAAACAGGGAAGTGCTTGAAGTGAATAAATGCAACAAATGCAATAGACATGCAAGAATAACGTTGGTAACAGGACATAAAACCTAAACGATTTGACCGAGGGGAGGTATGTTAAAGAATAAATTTAAAGAATCTGCTCGCGCTAAAGGTACTGAAACTAGAACTTTCATCAGACGAGCTAGCAAGGAGAACAAACTCAAATGCTGACACCGAACAGTCACGATGAAATTCAAGCAAGAAAATGTTTGCCATCCATCCAAAAGCAAAAAGAACAAAACTAAAGATGATGGCACTTTAAATAATTATGTAAACTGCTCAGTTGAAGAGAAATTAAGGAAATGCAAACTGTGGGTTCAAGCAAATGCAGAAAAGAAGGTGAAAAGGAAGGGAAAATATCAGGAAAACGAAAACAGTTTTGAGAAGGTATAAACTTCATCAAGCATCAGTCACTCACCCCAGACTGAATAAAGTTGGATTCATTCCTGAGCCCAATCATTTCAGCAATTTGATGTGCATAATCTTCCATATCATCATAACCAGGAGATGCTGAACGAAAGGATATTTGATCTTCATCATACATCATCATCCTGAAGCCATACATAAGGAATAAATATTAAAAATGTAGGAATAGCTTAACAAAATACACAACGATAATTATCTAAAGGTCTGCACTTTAACCCACCTTTTGGTCAAACTTCCAGAGGAACGAACCTCCTGAGCGGTAATATTTATGTTTGCCACCCATATAAGGTCTCTTCCCCAAGGCCAGCGAAGAGGGATCTTATAATTGACAGGCGGCTGAACCAAACAACTTTGCCTTGAACCTGGTCTACAATGGCGGTTATACTCTTCGCCTTTAGACATACCTAAAGCAAGATTTTCTGTAACGTTGAAGCAAGGAACATAGTTCTCAGACTCTGGAAGACAATAATCCAGCTCTTTCAATCTATTTGAACCAATAGATAATTTTCCTATGTCCACCAAGTCAGATACTAGTTCTTGCTGAAGCCGACGGTACCCACGATATATCTGACCTCTAGAAGAGGTCGTTATAGCTAATGTCCACCAAAAGGATCCACTAAGGGCAAGAATCACGATAACTACTAAGCTCAACCTGAGCAAAAACAGAGTAAACTTATGCCTATTCCTTAATGTTCCAGGGCTAAAAGGATCCGAAGCAAATCCATTCTCAATCAAATTTTGTTTAGAAGATGAATTATCTGGGAACAGAAGCCGGAAATGCTGCCTAATTGATAGATAGCTAGAATCCGCATTGGCGGTTTTCCGATCAACATCTTCCTTATCTGCTTTATCTTTCATCTGAGAATCCTCCCATGAATCATGAATATTGCCTGGAGACCGTGCCCCACCTGATATACCACGATGGAGTGGCCTTGACATCGTCACGCCTGAAAAACCCAGTAACCAAATCATACTAATTTATATATTAAAGAAAAGAAGGCACCTTTCCACAATAAAATCCTACTTTATCAGAAACAGAAAATGGGTATTTGCCCAGACAAGATCTATTTCCCCAACTTCCAGAACAGATCCCACTAAGTAACTTGAGAACCGAACATGACAAAATTTGAACCTTTGCGAGTAATTTAATAAGAGTAATGCATAACAAAAGACTAAAACACTGCAGAATTGCAATTTGTGAAAAGAAATGAGAAAACAAACAGGTAATCTGATCGGGATAACGGAACCACAGTACATAAGCATCAATGAGATCTTGCCTTACCAAACAAGGCAAGAACAATAAACAGGTGTAACAGTTATGGTGAATTCAGCTCACACCGACTTGCTAAACAACAGCCAAAACAAAACCCAGGAATCAAAAATCACCGACAACCCATTTGCCAACATTAAAAAACCAATCTTTCCGACAGACCACCCCAATCCCAATTCAGAAAATAGATGCGCAAAAGCAGAAAAAGAAAAAATTTACACTCTGGGTAGTACCTTTCTACAAGGAATGAGTGAATGAAATCCCCAATTCGAGGATTATTTCTCTTCTTCTTGAATTGCCTTTTACCTCCGTTGTTTTATCCTGTACCTCTTTGCTTAGCTCACCTCAAACCCGCCATTTCCTTCCTCCTTCTCAATTCCTCTTTTTCAGACACAACACTTCACTCACTCCAGCTTATTAGTCCTTCTTCTGAATACCTACGGATGAATGTCTGAATTTGTCTCTGGTTTCTGTACACACAGCTTGGGCTAAAACGCGGTGTTGGGGATGATTTTTGAGAGAGAAAGATGAGAACTTGAGAAGGGAATAGTGGAGAGTGTAATAAGATTTGTAAATATATGTAAGCATGGATCCCAATCACAAGTCACAAGTCCACACAATTCACCATTGCTATTTTAGAAGTAGCTCGTGAAGCCATCTAACTATTAATATTGTAAGAGTGAAAAAAAGTCTCTGTTTTTTTTACTATTATTATAGGGTGCTAGTGCAACTATTATACACCTTGAGATTTGCTGAGATTTAATTCACCAGTATATTTTTATATTATTATTCCAAAATTTTCATTATTTTAAGGCAGTGACAAAAAACTGTTCCCTCCCTCACGATGTTTCCTTTTTATTTCTTTTCTTCCTCTTCCTTTTGACTGTTAATAAATTATACTATCTTTTAATTTTATCATCACTAATTTTCAAAAAATTGACTATGAAGGCAGAGGATTTCTATAATGATGTGTTTATAAAGGTGACAATCACATAGCACTTTGTATTTATGAGTGAAAAAAGTAGATTATCGTGTCTGATGTACACTATTGTTATTTTCATGAACAATACGAAATGATTTTTTTTTTTTGCGAGTTATAATATTATTTTACTTGTGACATTTTGTATTCAAATTTAAACTTTATGTCACATCTTAAATTGGCAAAAACTTTTCATCCATGGTTATCCAACCTTTTTAATGACATTTTTTTTTTTGGTAATAACCTAGTTACTGGTGCATTGTTAAGGTAAATCTTCCGAAGAAGCGGAACAGAGCAAAGGTACAAAATAGAAAGGATATAAAATTCATGATCATTGAAGATACCAGTAGGGGGAGCAGATCGATGAGAATTAATCACTGCAATTAATCTAATACGACTAACAAAGTATGATTAGTGGTAGTACCATTTTTATTTTATTATTTTTTTAATTTTCTAATCAGCAAAGTATATGATTAATTAAATGGTGTTACTAGTGCTAACTGCTAAGTGGTATTTGAGGAAATCCATGTGAGATGCCCCCATTTTGACTTCTTGCAATTGCATCATCGAGACAGCAAATAAGAATTACATTTGGATTTTACAAGATTACTGGCTTATTACAATGAGTTAATCTCTGTAATTTATTTTGAGGAATTCCATGGTAGAAAGAGACAGCAGACACCGGAAAGTAAAAAAGAATTGACAATTTAATTTTTGGTCTTCGGGAGGATATGTTTTTATTTCATTAACTTGCGCCGGATATGCCGCGTTAAGTATATATGACTTCATAATTTTGCAAAGATAAATTTTCATAGTTTTGGTTGGGTATTATGAATCTAGTTTACCATTATAAATTGTAGTATCATTTCTGTTTCAAAATTATAATTTTGTTTGTAGTATTATTAATTAGTTTTATAAGTTGAAACTTAGATGAAGTTGAGCAATTATTTTGCCAGAAAATTGGAAATAACATGCTAAAGTTGTTGTAATCATTGTGAAAATATTTTGTTTTAAAAAATAAATGTACCTCAATGATTAAGCTTAAAGTCGTAGTTCCATTAGCTGAAAAGCTAGCTTCTTTACGATTTACCAAAACACTTAAAAAACCAAAGCTTCTTTACGAAATTTTGGCTGTTACAAACCAGTTAAGAATGTAAGGAAAAGATTGGCCAAATTGGTAGTGCAATTCAGTTTTGTGAACCAGAATTCAAGAGATTTGGAAAAATGAATTGGGGTCATAATTAACTTGGCAACTTATGACTTATGAGATGACATGACTTTAGCGATATCCTATCCTTTGCATTTCTATGTCTTGTTAGGCATTTTGCATATCTGTTTTATTTTTCTCTGTTTATTACTACCTCTGTCCCACAAAAACAGTATGCATCGAGTTTTCAAATTTATACTAAAAACAGTTTAAAACTCAAAACTTAATATGGACAATTTTTGTGAAACGGATGTAGTATATAATTTATAACTTAGAACATTACAAAATAATAAAAAAGAATACTACAAATGAAAATTACAATGGAAAAGACTATATATAAGGGGGTCATGTGAGCCCACTATGTAGCAATTTGACAAAAAGAAAGCTTTTGGGTTTTCCCCACTGAATAACAAAGTAACAAATAGTACATTATCTTACTTCGTCTTCTTATCCATTTTATTTATTTATAGAAACAAAATTATAATTCTACCATGCAAATGCATGGATCCCATGCATAAAATTCTGCACTCTGCAGGTTGTCCGGCTCCCTTATCAATCATTTTACGTTAACTTGCCTTATTAAAAATAAAGAGTAAAATTGGGGAAAAAAATATTTCAAATTGGCTTCTAAGTTCTTATTTTTCATCCTGTGTTTCCTCCTCGCGATATATATGTAATCGTTTCCAACTTAAAAGAGGTCAAGTTTTTATAGTTTCAATTTTTTTTTTTTGACCTCATGTTAACTGTATTACATGTATTGTTTCTTGTTTTAGAACCAAAAAAAAAAAAAAAGAAAATCATTTCCACATTTTTTTTCTTAAAGATTACTCAAGAACCTTTTTTTCTTTAAAAACTGAGGAGGGGAATCTACAATTTTCACTGCTATTTACCAGTATTTCATAAATTAAAAGTTATTTTAACTCTTTAACTACTACTAGTATTTTTTTATTATCAAAAGTTCCATAATATATAATACTAGTCTATGTTATTGCTACATAAACAATTCATAAATGAATGGTACGTAAATAACTATGAAAGAAATGCTAGCTTCATAACATAATTAGATCAAATGTTCTCATTCAGATTCGATTTTGTTGATTTATTTTAACATCTTTGTGCCAATGGAACGGTGTTGACTTACAATTTGGGTCTGCGATATGAAAGGGAAAGGCAGTCAACCATGCAATGCAACTACCCGTTCATGGAAAACAAGAAAGATGGAATCACCAAAAAAATAAAATTAAATAAAATTAAAAATAAAAAATTGTGGTGCGAAAATCATCTAGCACGAGATTAGCAAGGAAAGGAATCGAAATTATTGTAAATATATTTTAATTCATTTAAATAACTTCGAACTTGGATACTACTAACACCCGACCCAACCCCCAAAAAAAAAAAAAAGAGTAGACGGGGAAACTCTAGGTTCATGGAAAGATCGAATTGATGAAGAAGAAGAGCCCAAGGATTAAAATATTTTTTAATTGTTCAAAAAAAAAAAAATAGTTTTGGGGTTTTAGAAAAACAAGGAAATAGTTTAACGTTGACAGGGCACATGTTTTGGTGGGGAGTTAATCACACACTTAAGTGTACTTTCACTTCCTAATGGTTCCCCGTTTCATACGATCATCATACGTCGGCGGTGGGCTCCACTCCTGGCCGCGTTTACGGTGTCGGTGAGTTAATACAACAAGACGGTGAAACCCAAGTCTTTACTCAGAATCAGAAGTTAAACCGGAAGGATTAGTTTAAAGTTTTTTGTTCACTTCTTCTTCAAAGGTAAAGACTAAAAATTTTATTACTCTTTTTGTTTTGGTTTCTTCCCTTGAGCTTATCTTCTCCATTCATTTGAGATGGCCAAAAACAAGCATATCTTCAATGGCTTGGTGGGATCATGGATTTCGTACAGTTACAGGAAAAAACACACATCTAGCTACACTAATATCGCTCGGAAAATAAAAAAATATCGTTATTACAATTTTCTTCGGAAAGAGTTTTAATACTATTTCTTCCGTCCCAATCCCCAAACATAGTATTTCTTCAGACAATAATTTTAAGACAGAAAGGAGTACTATATATTTAGCTAGTTACTTCAATTAGTGTAACATCTCCACAGTTAATAATTCAGTAGCCACCCTTTTATTTTTTTCAAATTATTTAAACTGCTAGATAACTGAGCAACATTAACAAAATAAATCACCCCCAAACAACAAGTCAACGTACGATTTGATTAGAAAGTCTGTAAAATGTGAAAAGGAGGAAGTTAAAGTGTGGTGTACTAACTGGGTTTAATTTGACAGCACTATTAATGGTGCATAATGAGCATATTTCCACACCATTGATCCATCAAATCTAGCCAAATCACAACTAAATTAAACCAACAGCACCTTTTCTTGGGGTTCTTCAAACTTCAATTAAATCACCCACCATCCCTACTATTCATAATAATTCAGAAATAAATGGTTAGAAATCTTTACACTTGAATAGAGTGTTAATCAGACCTGTTTGATAAAAATTATTGATTAATTCTGATTATTTAATATTGAATTAAAAATAGTGAATCCATAAAGCAGTTACAGAATAAATAATAAACTAACTTCTATTACTTATATTTTGTACTGTAATTATTTTAGAACTACTTATTTCATTAGAAGATTCATTTTTTTATTATCAAATCAAACATGCGCGTTACAGTTTGAAAATGTACTTTATTACTCCCTCTGTCCCATAATTATTGTCCAGTTTGAGTTTTCATTTTTAGTTCAAATTGCACTAAAAATAAAATCTCAAATTGGATAATAATTTTGGGACAGAGGGAATAATTGTTTTACACATCTTTAATAGGGTTTCCGGCACAAAAAAAACCCAAAAAAAAGTGGTGGTTGATTAGATCGATTGTGGAAGAAGTCTTCTCCATGAAATTGATGCTAAGATTAATCTGAATATGAACAAGAGTCAAGCGTCGGCGATTGAAATCAGCTAGTAGATAGCCGGACTATCAGTGGACCTAAAGAAGCCTACCTGTAATTTGGCATCATTACGAGATTATTAATAGATTAATTAATTGGATTTGGCAGATTTCATAAAGTCAAAGTCTTTACAAGTAATTAGTCCCCATGGGGAGATGCAAAGTAGTAGGAGATACTAATATTTATCTATATAGCTCAACTTGTGGGTAACACTATTATTATAAAGTCAGGCATCAATCTTTTCTTCCCCACCCCCTTTTCTCTTCTGGGGAGAAAAAAATATATGATGTTTGTAGTATTTATCTAAACTTTTACCAACTTTTCGAGGTACATTATTCTGATGATGAAATATGATATTATGATGGTCCATGCATTGGATTGGAACTTTACAAGTTGACAAAAAAATTGGTGTTACGTTATGAATCAACATGGGCATGATAACATAAGCACCGTCGAAAAAAAAAAACAATAGAGAAAGAAAGAAATGGCTTTCCACGCGTTTTGATTACGATGATATGAAAGAGAGATCTGCATGGTGTTTTTTTGGGAGATGATGAGGTAGCGTACACATTGCATCTGTCGGTCTGTATTGCACTATCCAA